CACGAATGAAGGGGTCCAGGGACGCACCAATAAATGCACAAGCCCCAAGATTCCCCATGCTTTCTCTTTTTTTTGGGGGGGGATTTCGTCTGCCCCCCGCTTCCCATACTTTCCCGTATTTTCTTGCGAATCGACGATCAATTGTGTATGTATTTCTTCCCCTCCTGCGAGTTGATGGAAGCGCCCCGGCCCCGCGCCCCGGCGAGCGTGGGTGATGATGCGGCGACGTCAGCGCTGACGTCTGCAACCAATAGCTTCGAGTGTGCCTTCGGGGAGCTCTTCGATGCGAGTTCGAGGGTGGCATGGACCTAATGTAATTATACGGTGGTAGACGAACGTTCCTCAGGATCCAGCAATTCTGTGACATGTGTGAAATCCCAAACCCGGATAGCAAGGCGCCAGAAGGGCACGCAAAGGCCTCTCAAAGGAGCTCGAGAAATTTCTGGAAAGAGCTTCTGGAAGAGCTTCTGGAGAACTTCCGGACAAACGTATCCGAAAACGCTTAGGAGAAGCTCTCAATGACCCGCTGAAAACTCGCACCGGCCCCGCTGGGGATTTTTCACGGAAGCCGGAACGAGCTCTGGTGCTACCCTGTGGCTCTGGCTTCTTAATCTGACACCCTCTTAGCTCTCTACGAGCTATCCAGGAAATATGGGAGTCTTCTTCGGGAGCGCGTACTCGGTCCTCGAACAGTGGTCCACAGCATGGTTGCAAGCCACTGCCCAATATTTTTGAACCACCCCCAATAACATCGCATTCGTCCTCGACATCGGCAAGTACATGCTCGCGCACACCTACCAGGTCGTCATCGGCGACGGCCTGCAACAGCTCAATAGCCATATCAATGGCGTGATGGGCCCGACGACCATGACGTTGGCGCCAAGTACGCCTGAAACGCATGGGGATGCGGACGCGGCGTCGCAGGCGTTAAGGGCGAATGTCATCGAGCTTCAAGTGAAAAGCTTCTTGGATGGTGAGAACCAATTCCAAGTTGCCAAGAGAGGTATGAGAAGAGTTTGTCCCACGTGTGAGGTGGGCGGCTACAGCAATCCATAGTGAAGCCGATGCAGCGCGCTGGGCCCATGGTGGAAGGTTGCACCTTCGCGGAGAAACGCCTCGATCAATTGAGCTTCTTTTGCGACATCAAGCATGCGAGGCCGGGATTTATCCATATCCACCGCCCCCTGGGGCCCGAATATGTCCATATCCACCGCCTGCCGAAACTCCGAAAACTGACCCTCCAGGCGGTGGTGATGTATAAATTCCCGCCTCGGAAAGCATGCCTCCTCGCTACCGAAAACTGCGACAGAGCACATCTTGCTCGCAGTCTGGCCTGCGCGGGAGGCGTCCTCGAGCGACGGCGATCCAACAAGCACTCATATCAACACACCAGCGTCCACTTCGCGGCCGTGGTCCGACGGTCCAAACAGACCCCAGGGAGGTGCTGGGTGGTCTGGGGTCAGCATGCCGCCCCCCTGGGGTCCCAGCAAGCATGAAGGGGCCCTGGGACACACAGACAAATACACACAGCAAACACAATTCCCAATGTTTTCCTACATTTTCTGGGTTTCTGTCTCCCCCCCACTGCCCAAATTTTTACATATTATTTCGGGAATCGACGATTCATGGTGCCTGCGTGTTATTTCTCCTCCTGCAAATACTAGGGATGTCGCCAGCGGGTGTCCCGCGGGGAGGTCCTGCCCTCAGGCTCTGCGGCGCCGGCCGTAAGGCCTCCGCACTCAACAGAGAAAGAAGAGAGCATATCCATAAAAAACACAAGCTGAGACACCAAAACGAAAACGAATAGGAACGGGAAGGGACCATAACATCAGGTTCTTGCGCCTGGCACAGTCAGTGTCTGGAACCTGTGTGTTGCAAACTACGTGGCGCAATCCAATCGACGCGATGTAAGCCGATCTGGTGCGATATGTAATGCTCACGTATGAACATATTGACGTCGTCAACCCCAATGCTTGACCCTCCCCCACAACCTGTTGGCAAACCACAGTTTGTGCCCTGACACGAGGACATTCTCATGCAGATCCATGAATCCGGCGGACGAATGATGATGATGACGACGAGTTCGGCGACGGCGACGATGATGGTGGCGCTGATGACGGGGGCGGCGGCGACGACGATGATGATATTGCTGATGATGATGGTGATGGTGATCACGATGATGTTTGTGATTATGATGATGATTATGATGATGATGGCGATGATTGTAATCGCGATGATGATGCTGATGATGCTGATGCTGATGTTGCTGCTGATGCTGATGCTGATGATGATGGTGCGCATGATGATGTTGATGGTGATGATGACGATGGCACTGATGGCGATGTCGGTGATGATGGCTGTGATGATGAAAATGGGGACGTGCGTGCACGCGAAAACTCTTGCCATAGTTGTAATAAACAATGTTTGCCACCGTGGATCCCAAACAATAAGTTGTTGCACCCTACCCGTGTGAGCTATATGGTGCACGCTATCTGGTGCAAGACTATAAACGCTGCTGCAAACAACGTGCTGCAACCTTTCGCGGTGCAACCTATGTGGTACAAACAAAACTCTGCAAACAATGCGGTGTAATCCATGTGTCTTGTAAGCTACATGGACGCTATGAGGTGCACATCCGATGGTGCTCAACATGCGTGCTGATGCGAACCTTTGCAGTGCAAGCTATGTGGTGCAACACGGTGTAAGCATCATGGTACAAGCAGCGTGCGCGGTGTAAGCTGCGTGAAGGTTATAGGATGCAAGCTACGCGGTGCAATCTGCGAGGCGCAATTCGCAAAGTTGCGCAACCGATGTGCAATCGACACGTATCATGAGGACGCGCGATAAGGACGCATGGGCCTTGGACGGCTATTTCGAAGCTTTTCGAGCGGGGCGTGGCCGGCGAAAGTGGCCAAAGAGGGACCGAGGAGGCAAGGAGGCAAGGGTACCCTGGGGAAGGTTGCCCATGGGCAATACTGAAGACCGCACGGAGGCGATAAACGTCGATCTTGATTCTGCCTGCCGCATGCACACTGAATGTTTCGAGGCTATACGTGAGTTCCGTAAGTTCTGATAAGACGCACGCATTAAACAAGTTCTCCTGTCTTGCCTTAGTTTTGTTGGCATGCCTCCAGGCAGTCTTCAACGCATCGAAAGACGAGCCTGTTTCACCCACTCGTCTGGCAACTGACGCTCCTTTTGTCCCGTCGGCTCGGAAGAGGCTGCCCAAGAAGACCGTCGAGATGACCGTCTTGAGCGGCATGCCCTGCGGCATGTGGATGTCGCGTCGTGCTGGGTTCGCAGTTGCACGGTCTTGTCCAAATTGGGACCCTATCCGTACATGTGCGCTCTACAAATCAACGGGTCCAGAAAAAACTGCAGCCTTGCGAGGTCGTTCGGCACCAGCACCGTGCCGTCCGCGTACGCCGCGCTGGCGCAGCGACCATCAGCACGCGCATGTACGAACTGCGAAGTTACTTCCTGCTCTACGCCACTCATCACCGCGCTCAACATGATGATGAACAAGGACGGGCTCAAAGGGCACCCCTGCGCGTTGCCAGGGGACTGCGCGTGGCGGTTACTGCTGCTAGGCTCGCTTTTCACCTCGAACGACTGCTGTTCTGTTAGACTGTTCTAGAGCGCTCGACCAAATGAACCCTTTCGCATTGCTGATAACGTTGGCCCAGCTTGCCGTGACCGACCCGTACATCAAGATGACCGCTGCCATGTACGAAGGCCCCAAGGCGGCGTCAAAAGAGGGTAAAGACGGTCCACAAGTGCCTCAAGAAAACTCCAGAACTGCCGACAAAGTTCCCAACACGGCCTCGACAAGCACTTGTCGTCCCAAGAGGCCCCCAACACGACCCCAGGAAAGCCGAATAGGCTATCGGGTCCCCAGAAGGGCCCCAAAGAGATCCAAGACAGCCTCTCACTCTCGACCCCATGTGATCCCACAGTCATCCCGACAGCATTTTGAGGAAGCAGAGCTCAGCCTCAGCCGAGCGAGCTTTACATCGAGCGCCGTGCCGGCCACACATTCGCTGTACTTCCACAAGTCGGCGGCGCGCCCAGGGCGGAAGGTAGCGGGGGCGGGCTCTCTCAGAAGGCTTAGCAAGCCTCGGCCCTTCCCCGTCTGCGAAGCTTCCCTCCCAGGCCTCCTTCGAAACCACATGTTGGGGGGGCTCCTCGGACGGCCGGAGGGACTTCTCAGCAGCCCCGCCGCCTTCTGAGAAAGCATGCCCCCTCGCACTTCCAAGCCTCGGCGCGCCTCCGACCAAGGGGGGAGGGCGGCGACGACTCGTGGCCCGTGGGCGTCCTCGACTCCAGAGGACTTCCGGCTCCAGGGCGGGGAGGCGGATGCGCGGAGATGACAAGGGAGGAGAACCTGGCGGGCGGCTGGGAGGCGCGGCCTGTGTGCGGTCTGCCGCGTTTCCCTCGCTCTCCGGAGCGGTGGCCCTGGCACACTTACGACGTCGTGGTCTTGCAACACGCGGTCCCCAGACCTCTCGACCCCATCCCGGGGATGCGCTTCTCATCCCAGGTAATGGTTTGACGGCTCTGGGCACCGAAGCGAGACTCTGGAGGGCGAGCTCGAGAAAACACTGCCGAGCAACATCGAACATGCCGTCTCATGGACTCGTGTCAGCAGGTTAGATGAGAAAGATGTCAGATTTGGAGGGGATGAGACGAAGACGAAGAAAAGGGCTGCGGGACGAGGATCGGAAGAATAATAATCTACCCCGCTCACGAAACCCTTTGAAACAGCATATCAAGCAATGGTCTGTGGTTTTCGGGCGATAACTCGGGCCTCTGGCGGCTGTTCGGCATGACTCGGGCAACCGGGAACGCCCCCAGCGAGGCGCAGCTGCTGGACGGCATCCCGAGGCGGGGATCCCGCCGAGAGCCGACGAAAGCGGCCCAAAACCTTGACCTCACGACGTCGGAAGTCTCGTCTTTTCGGCATATCGCCACCGTGGGTCTCGGCGTGGGAACGGCGCGGCTCAGACATCGGGCAGGCACGGGTCCACGTTCGGCGCCTGGCCGGTGCGGAGCGCCCGCAGGAAGATCAGCCCCGTCGCGCTGATGCCCCAGGAGAGACCGACGCACACGCCTCCGAGGGGGGACGGGGAGGGGGAGGAGGAGGAGGGGAGGAGGAGGAGGAGGAAGGAAGGAGGAGGAGGAGGACGAGAGGAGGAGGGAGGAGGAGGAGGAGGAGGAGGAGGAGGAGGAGGAGGAGGAGGAGGAGGAGGAGGAGGAGGAGGAGGAGGAGGAGGAGGAGGAGGAGGAGGAGGAGGAGGAGGAGGAGGAGGAGGAGGAGGAGGAGGAGGGGAGGAGGAGAGGGGAAGGGGAAGGGGGGGGGGAAGGAGAGGAGGAGGGGAGGAGGAAGAGGAGTAGGAGGAGGAGGAGGAGGAGGAGGAGGAGGAAGAGGACGAGGAGGAGGAGGAGGAGGAGGAGGAGAGGAGGATGAGGAGGAGGAGGAGGAGGAGGCGGAGGAGGGGGGAGGAGGAGAGGAGGAGGAGAGGAGGAGGGGGAGGAGCAGGGAGAGGGGTGAGGAGGGGGAGGGGGAGGAGAAAGAGGGGGGAAGCAAGTGGAGGAGGACAAGGACGAGGACGAGGAGGGAGGAGGAGGAGGAAGAGGAGGAGGAGCAGGAGGAGGAGGAGGATGAGGAGAAGGAGGGGGGGGAGGAGGAGGAGGAGGAGGAGGAGGAGGAGGAGGAGAGGAGGAGGCAGGAGGAGGAGGAGGAGGAAAAGGAGGGGGATGAGGAGGAGGAGGAGGAGGCGAAGGAGGAGGAGAAGAAGGAGGAGGAGGTGGAGGAGGGGGAGGAGGAGGAGGAGGAGGAGGACGAGGAAAGGGAGGAGGAGGAGGAGGAGGAGGAGGAGAAGGAGGCGGAGAAGGCGGAGGAAGAGGAGGAGGAGGAGGAAGGGGGAGGAGGAGGAGGAGGAGGATTTGTTTGAGCACTTTGGCTCCCGCTGCATGCTTAAAGCACACTGTATGTGTCTGAGAGTAAGGTGACCCCTTTCGCTTTAGGATGGAGTCCCTTACAAATCTTGCTCCAAGCGTCAGAGTTGTAAGCCGAAGCTTTCTGACCTGGACAAATCTTGTTGAGAGCTGCTAGGCGGGCTCCACTAGTGTATCTCTGGCACACAGTACAAACGACAACAAACGACCCGTTCGAACAATCCAGGGGGATACACTTGTGGTTTAAAGCTCTAAGCCGCCGAACATCCACTTTCAACGAATCAGAACAGTGGCCAGGGGCAGGCTCTTTGTCAGCGGCGTTGCGCGACGTCCTGAGGCACCCTTGACAACTCCAAAAACGTTGGTCCCCTCCAGGCGGCCCCAGCCACTCCCACCGATGGGGCGAAACAGGAGTGCGAGGGGCAGGAGTAAGCGCAGACCAAGATGCACGGGAGAGGTCCGTGCGCGGCCAGAGTGGCAGAAGCGCTGCGCACAGTTTGACCGCCATTAGAGCCGAATTCACTAGAGCTGAGCATTTGTTGTCTACCTCCTCCGACGGCGCCTGATGGGAGTCGGCCCCCAACCTGGCGGCCCTGTCGGCGAAATCGTTCCAGATCCTTCGAAACCGCTCATCGTCGTCGATCTCGGGATCATCGATGGGAAGGTGTGCGGGCACTTTCTCGCACCCAAGCGTCCATTTTCCCCCCAGAGAACGACCCTGCGTCACAAGCCCCGAATATGGACGCTTGGGAGAAATCTGCTCATGTCGGGCCATGCCGTGCATGGAAACTACATTTTGGCAATCTGAATACAGTATTGCTGGTGCAGACAGGAAAGCGCAAGCCATGGCATATGCCGAGAATTCTCCAGCCTGTGGAGTCTGCGGGCAGCTGTCCCATACGGGGCCCCAGCTCCAGGCTAAGAGGTTCGACTGAGGGCCCATCATAGCTAAGCCCCATCCTGCGCGATTCGAGCTGCGGACAACCCGTCGCGAGCACGAGCCATCTAAGAATACGTGGCCCCACATCTGTCGGCGGCCATCGCGGGGCATCTCCATGCCTTCCGCAGCGAAGCCGTCAGGAAAAAACTGAAACTGGATACCATCCTCCTCCTCGGATTTACTGTCGGACTTAGGGGGCGGGATCACACGCTGGGGGTGGCCGAACAAGCCAGAGGTGAGGTGGAACCGTTATTTCTCAGGTACCGCCTCGAACTGCCTCAAAACCTGCTCCAGCGTACTGTAAGGAATCACCGCCCTCCTCTCCTCCTCCACCGCCGTACACGCATACAGCCGATGAAAGATCGCGTCTCCAGGCTGATGGCATAGCGGGCAACGATCCTCTACTTCGTAACCTGCTGCTCGTGCGCGGGCGTAGGGCCAAATTCCTTGACAGGCACAGCAACGGATGGTTCCTTTCTGGCGAGCTGTAAACTTCTTCGAACGCAGAGCTTTGATGACGACGTCAAAACATAAAGACTCGGCCCCATCGGGGCCGCACTTGCTGGCCGCTTCCCTCTCCAAAGAACGCCAAACCCCCTCTTTGAGGAAAACCTGGAGGAGGGAAGGAGGAGTGAGCGTGAGCGAATGCTCAACCCCCAAGTCGCTGATCATAACAAAGGGCGAGGGCATGCTCCATCCCAGGCGGGCCAAGGACAGTTTCACGGCCCCGATGGGCCCGCCCACGGTCCGCCAGGTCCACGAACGCCCGAAAACATCGTGCCACATGTTTCGGAGCTCGGCCCAGGTAGAACAAACTACAGTGACCCTCGTGGCACGAGCCCAGACTTCCTTGGCCCACCTGATGGCTGGCGCCACAGCACCCCGCCAAGCAGGATCGCCTTCGATCCTGCTAAGAATGGTTAAACTTCGGCCGCCGCAGGCAGGCTTCATCGTGGAGGCACACGTGCGTCTAACTTTGGTTAACTCTCCATCGCTGACACCGTGAACCTCCGCCCCATAATTCACTCCCGCCAGAGGTCCCGCTGTGCAAAGCTTCGTAGCCCTCGGTCCTAGAACTCCTCTTTGACGAGCCAGCCTGCCTGCACGCCTAGAGGCACTCGCAAAGCGCGTCTTCGCTCTGCTGTTGCGCCCTCGGACTCGCCTGGCACAGCCTGCAGTGTCATCAATCCCCAAATTGACAAAAGACTCGGTGAAAACTCCTCCAAGCCCCCCCAGTCGTTTCTGGACATGCCTAGCGATTTCCTTAGACGACGCGACCAACCCGACCTTGTCAGGGGAAACTTGTGCAAAAAAGAACATTCTCAATGATCTCATCGAGGGGCTTAGCCGCTCTCGGGAGTTCTTTCATGATGTGCCTAGTGGTCCCGATCGCATTAATCCCGAGGTCGTCAATGTAAGCATCGAACGTGATCCCCTTGGGGACCTCCAGTTGATCGAAGCCACGCAGGGCAAAGATCCTGATCATAGTGGTAGCAAAGCTGCACCCCGCTGCGATTCCAACCCTCGCGTAGGTAGGAGGCGCCACCACCCCAGCTAGCACCAGGAAGCGGGCAGAACGGCATCCCGCCATGAACACATCGGCGAGCGCACCTGGGAAGCCGCGTTGCCTGCATCGAAGAGCCAGAAGTTCTAGAGGGATGCGCTCGTAATACTTGATAAAGTCCCAGAGGAGAGTACAGGCCTGCTGCCCGCAGGCTCGGGAGGACTCCGAACGGGCGGCCTGCCGCCAAACAACATCGCAAGCATACTTGAATTTTCCCGCCGCCCAGTGCTCTCTCTGGTGTTTCCCTTCCCACTCAACCGCGTAATCTCTCCTGCATTTCCCCCGTGATCTGCGCGGGCTGGGAAAGACCCCGATGGGGCGGAAGCCAGTGGAGGGCTTCGGCAGCATAGCAATAATCACGGCCTCCAGCTGCGGGGGAAGGGTGCCCGTGAGTTCCATCAGCGCGAAGAGACGCGAGAGGGCCCACAAGGCCCCGTCGGACAGCACCGAAAAGTGTCTCAAGTAAAACCCATCCAGGCCTGTGGCAGACCTGTGGGCAAAAATGCGAGAAACCCTACGAATGGTGTCCACCGAAATAGAAGGGAGGGGAGCATTCACTTTCCCTGGCCTTTTCTGAGGTAAAGGCAGCCCTTCCCACAAATAGCGAAAACGATCAGCTTCGGCGGCCAGGAGCGCCTGCGGGTCCGACACCACGCAGCCCCCAGCACTAAGTGTAGTAGATGGCGACCAGACTTGAGGGTCTTTCGTGTAGCTGCGCGCCCTACGGCCGCCCTGATCGACATTCTCAGTGAGCCAGTCCGCCCAATCGCGTCTGGCCTTGGCTGCGTAGAAGGCGCTACACTGCGAGACAAAATCGGTAACCTGGGTTGAGACCTCTTCGACTTGGGCTGTCAAAACCTCCTGAGCCTCCAAGAAACTAGGATCAGAGCCCGGCCCTTCCAGAGGGTCTTCCAAAACCTTGAGGTCCGAAACCACCGAGGAAACGCTTCCAAAAACCGCTTCGATCCCAGGGAACAGGTTGTCGGGCTTACACAAACTGGGGGGGGGGGGCGACAAAACGCGCCCCACTTCCCGAGCCTGAGGCCAATCCCCCCGCTGCACACAGGAGAGAAGACGTTTGAACTTCGAAGCGAGCCAGCGGCAGGCGTGGAGCTGGGGGTGCCGCGCGCAACCGTGATCTTTACTAAGGATCGGCCTCCAATGAGTCTTGGGCCCCATGCCCCTAGACCCCAAAACTGGAAGTTGAACCCCGAAAGTCCTTGAAAGTTCCCGTTCAGCAAGGCCCGCCCAAGACGCGTGAGCTTCACGAAATAGGCGGGCAGTCATGACCCCATCGCCCCCTCGCTTCGCTCGAATGAAAACCGCGTCCAGCTGGGCATGCACGCGCTTAAAGTCCATCGGCTCAGGCTGTGGACCGAAGGGTACTTCCGATGGGAGAGGAGGCGGGCGTCTGAATGCGAGGTAGTGCATCTGGGCCAGTCCTGCATGGAAAATCGAGGCAGACTGGGCTGTGCGGAAAGAAACCAGCGTCCTCGATTATGCGAACTTCGGCGGTGCCCTTGGATAGCCCAGCAGATACAACGAAGTAGTCGTAAACTTTGCCCGCGCCAGCGTGACAAGTAGGCTTGCTGGGGTCGATGACTTGGCCAACCAGGGTGCTCGCGAAATGGGACTTGGCGAGTTCGGA